AGCATTCCTATACACCAACAACGGTCAAAACGAGAGTCAAATCACAATGAACTCCCATTCACAACTGCCAGAAAAGAACACCTAGGAATACAGGTAACTAGGGAGGTGAAAGATCTCTACAAGGACAACTATAAACCACTTCTCAAAGAAATCAGACATGATACAAACAAACACAAAAACATTCCACACTCATAGACAGGAAGAACCAATATTGGCAAAATGGCCATACTGCCCAACGCAATTTATAAATTCAATGCTATCCCCATTAAACTACCATTGACATTCTTCACAGAACTGTAGAAAACTATTGAAAAATGTATGGGGCCGGGTGCAGTGGCTCAAGCCTGTAATCCCAGCACTTTGGGAGGCTGAGGCGGGTGGATCACAAGGTCAAGAGATCGAGACCATCCTGATCAATATGGTGAAACCCCGTCTCTACTAAAAATACAAAAAACTAGCTGGGCATGGTGGTGCGTGCCTGTAATCCCAGCTACTCAGGAGGCTGAGGCAGGAGAATTGCCTGAACCCAGGAGGCGGAGGTTGCGGTGAGCCGAGATCGCGCCATTGCACTCCAGCCTGGGTAACAAGAGCGAAACTCCGTCTCAAAAAAAAAAAAAAAAGAAAGAAAAATGTATGGAACCAAAAAACCCAAATAGCGAAGACAATCCCAAGCAAAAAGAACAAAGCTGAAGGCATCACACTACCCAACGTCAAACTACACTGCAGGGAGACAGTAACAAAAACAGCATGGTATTCATACAAGAACAGACACATAGACCAGTGAAACAGAACTAAGAACCCAGAAATAAGACCACACACTTATAACTATCCGATCTTTGACAAACTTGACAAAACAAGCAAAGGGGAAAGGATTCCCTATTCAATAAATGGTGCTGGGAGAACTGGCTAGCCATATGCAGATTGAAACTGGACCCCTTCCTTATACCACATACAAAGATTAACTCCGGATGGATTAAAGACTTAAATGTAAAACCCGAAACTGTAAAAGCCCTGGAAGGCAACATAGGCAGTATCATTCAGGACACAGGCACACGCAAAGATTTCAGGGTGAAGATGCCAAAAGCAACTGCAACAAAACCAAAAATTGCCAAATGGGATCTAATTAAACGAACTTCTGCACAGCAAAAGAAACTGTCAGCATAAACAGACAGCCTACAGAATGGGAGAACATTTCTGCAAACTCTGCATCTGATAAAGGTCTAATATCCAGTATCTGTAAGGAACTTAAACATATTTACAAGAAAAAAAAAACATTAAAAAGTGGACAAAGGATATGAACAGACACTTCTCAAAAGATGACATACACATGGCCAACAAACATGAAAAAAGCTCACGTTGCTGATCATTACAGAAATGTCGATCAAAACCACAATGAGAGTTGTCTGGCCCAGTCTACCCACGGCCCACCACCTACCGACCCACGAATCGGCCGGGCCCTCTAGTACACCATGTCTGGCTCTTCCAGCGTTGCCGCTATGAAGAAAGTGGTTCAACAGCTCCGGCTGGAGGCCGGGCTCAACCGCGTAAAAGTTGCCCAAGCAGCTGCAGACTTGAAACAGTTCTGTCTGCAGAATGCTCAACATGATCCTCTGCTGACTGGAGTATCTTCAAGTACAAATCCCTTCAGACCCCAGAAAGTCTGTTCCTTTTTGTAGTAAAATGAATCTTTCAAAGGTTTCCCAAACCACTTCTTATGATCCAGTGAATATTCAAGAGAGCTCCATTTGAAGCCTGTACAAAAGCTTATCCCTGTAACACTTGTGCCATAATATACAAACTTCTACTTCTGTCAGTCCTTAACATCTACCTCTCTGAATTTTCATGAATTTCTATTTCCCAAGGGTAATTGTTTTATATACACTGGCAGCAGCATACAATAAAACTTAGTATGAAAGGTTAAAAAAAAAAAAAAAAAAAAAAAAACAATGAGATACCACCCCACACTAGTCAGAATGGTTATTATTAAAAAGTCAAAAATAACAAATGCTGGTGAGGTTGTGGAGAAAAAGGAGTGCTTATACACTGCTGATGGGAGTGTAAATTAGTTCAACTATTGTGGAACACAGTGTGACAATTCCTCAAAGACCTAAAGACAGAAATACCAATCAATCCAGCAGCCCCATTACTGGTATATCCCCAAAGGAATATAAATTGTTCTATCATAAAGACACATGCACGTGAAAGTTCATTGCAACACTATGCACAACAGCAAAGACATGGAATCAACCTAAATGCCCATGAATGATAGACTGGGAAAAGAAAAATATAGTACATATACACCATGGAATACTATGCAGCCATAAAAAAGTACGAGATTATGTCCTTTGCAGGGACATAACAGAGCTAGAGGCCGTTAACCTCAGCAAACTAATGCAGGAACAGAACACCAAGTATCACATGTTCTCACTTATAAGTGGGAACTAAATGATGAGAACACAGGGACACATAAAGGGGAAAAACACACACTGTGACCCATTGGAGGGTGAAGGATGGAAGGACGGAGAGGATCAAGATAAGTAACTAATGGGTACTAGGCTTAATAACTGGATAAAATAATCTGAACAAACCCCCCCCATGACACTGACACATATTTACCTATGTAACAAACCTGCACATGTACCCCTAAACTTAAAAGCTAAAAAACACAATGGGCTTTGGGGACTCAGAGGAAAGGGTAGAGCGGGGTGAGGGATGAAACTGAAGTTCAGTGTATACTGCTCGGATGATGGGTGCGCCAACATCTCACAAATCTCACCAAAGAACTTACGCAGCCAAACACCACCCGTTCTCCAAAAACCTATGGAAACAACAAATTTTAAAAATAACCAAGCCACATGTTAACAAGGCAAGAAAGATTTTAAAAAGAGGTAGCCTCATTGTGCTTGACAACAGATCAGACAGGGGCTGTAGGGGAGAGACTAGTGAGTCCAGAATGCCTCCCAAAGGGTCTTCCTTGGCCAGCTGAGGTGCCAGGGAAGGAGTGGGCTAGGGGTAAGGGCGTGGAATTTGTTACGTTATATATCCCACCTCCTCATCCAGACAAGACACTGTTTTACCTAAGCCGATACATTTGTTATTAGATTATCCCCGCTTTGCAGATGGAAAAACTGAGGCTCAGAGATGTTAAGCACCTTGTCCAAGATCAGAGAATTGTTATGGAATGGGGCTCCACCACAAGACTCAAATCCAGGTCTGTCTGCCCTCAATATTGCTGGACCAGTAAGTGAGGAGAAGAGATGACAATGGCTGGTTTTCTTCGGCTTTCCTTCGGCTCTGGAGCCCCCATATAAGCACACACAATAAGGAGACTGTGAAGAACATCCAGACCTTCCCTTTCCAACATCTGTCGCAGCTGAGACACAGAATTCTGCAAAATGACCATCTGGAGATATTTGTTTAAATCTAGCCCCAATTGTATGAGAAGAGCCAGCACGGCTGTGGGTCTGAATCTGACTCCACATGGGAGCCTCACCAAATACTGATGCCTGTGGTTCATCCGGAGAGACTCTGACATAGTTGTTCCGGGGCCTGGCCTGTGCGTGAGGGTATTAAGCTCCCAGGTGATTCTAATGGGCAGCCAAATGGGAAAACTGCACAGCAAGAGAAACTGCTTCTCCCCGCTTACTGGTCTATGAGGTTTAAGTACGTCTGCAGCCTTGATAGATGACGGTAAAAGACAAGTGTTTCCACGGACTCATTACAGAACTAAGAGCAAGCACCTGACCCATCCCGTTCCTTGGGTGCCCTACCTATGGGAATCCTCTAAGCCAGGCAGCATAAGCAGTGGGGTTTCAGCACGCTCACGGTCACTTCTCAAATGTCTTCCCCATTGGCTTCTGGGGTGCTTGTAATGCCAACCACAAAGACTCAATTCTATAAGCTATGTATACTTTAATTACGTTGATGAATTGTGTTCCTTGGGAAACCGTCATGCCAGACGCCTATCACCTCCGAAACGGATGGCACCGGGCTTGAGAGGCTGAAGAAGAGACCCAGAGCCAGCAAATGAGACATTGGGCTTATTGGGGGAACTCACCAGCAGAGCAGCCCAGTGGTGGGGGCCGGACAGGAGAACCGCACGGCTTATAAAAGCCTGCAGTTCATACAGCGTTTTCACTGAACGCCCTCCCCCTAGCAACCGTCACCTGGCAACTCCCATTTAACACAAAACAAAGGGCCTCAGTACTCTATATGGCCCACATTTTACAGGACAGGGCAGGACGGAGGCTCAGCTACTCCTCACAGATAAGGAATGAACCTCCAGGTTGGCCACACTTGGAAGTCTGAACACACATTCAGGTTCGTCTGCCATACAGGGTGATTCTCGGGGAACGCTTAAGTTACCACTGTCAGGTGTGTGTGCCACGCACAGGTGTGTCTACCCAACAGTAGCACAGCATATCAGCTGCGTGATCTATTAACCAGGATTCATCAGCCTGATTATCCATCTATCTGCCAGCAGAGTTTTGGGGGTGTCTGTTAATGCAGTTTAGGTTACACTTCATTAACAGATACTCCCCAAAGCTTCAACACCTGAAAACCACCAAGACTGGCCTACATGTCATTATAGGTCATGTGGACATCTGCTCAACATGGTTCCCTCTGGAACCCAGCCTCTGGCACAGCTGCCACTTACTGGAGTAATTGATATTTGCCACAGCAGAGGAAAAAGAGGACATGGCTTCCACTGGAAGTGAAATGTGTCACTTCCACTCACACTTCACCAGCCAAAGCCAGTCACATGGCCACATCTAACTTCAAAGGAGCTGAGAAGCACAATCCTACCCTGCCACGAAAGACTCACAGACAAGGTTAGGCCACAGCGTTCATGTCTCCCACCCCATCACTGCATGCTCCTCCCAGCAGAGCACAAACGAGTGTTCAAGACGGCGAAGGTCCCGGGGTTTCTGTCCAGCCAGTCTCCATCCCCACTGCTGAGGAATGTGGGCCGGTTACAAAGACAAACTCTGGTACTTTACCTGGGTTTGCCGCTTCTCTTCAGGCCCTCAAAGTCCGGAGGGGCCCAGAGTGGCGTCATCAGACGAGGTCATGTCCTGGGTGGCGGGGTGACCTCCTGTTCTGCTCCCAGCGTGCTGCCGGCTCACCAGGGTCCCAGGGCCAGGCCGAGCCGCGTCTTCATCAAACTCTCTCTGTTAGCTCCCACCCGACTCTGAGCCAGCCAATTTCTTTCATCATCACCTCCAGCTGGCCTGCAACCTGTGGCTCACTCCTGGTTCAAAGACTCAGCCGGGAAATGGAAGGCTCTGAAAGGTCCTTTCATGCGCAGCGACTCTCGCCTTAGGGGGATGTTTGAGGCTGCTCTGACTCAGTCTCCCATTCAAAGGCTGGGTTCAGTGCGGAGCCAGCAGGAAGTTAACAAACTGGACCGTCTGAGGGACTGACTCAAAACATAAAAAGAAATAGGTGATAGAGTAGCCGAAGTGCCTGCAGCGGCCTCCCGCCCGCCCGCGGTGAGCCGGAAGTGAAGCAGCTTCAGCTCCACCCTCCCTGCAGCCAGCAGACTCCCCTCTCCTGGCCCTGCCTCCGCGGTCTCGCTGCACCTGTACCCACAGGTGCTGGGCCCTGGCTCCTCAGCAGGAAAGACCCTCCCCACACCCTGTTTTGCCACTCCTCCAGCCATTTTTAATATTTCTGCCGGACGGAGCATTCCTTGCCCAGGACGCAGAAGAACCACCTCAAAACTGGAAGCAAGGGCTCCATCTTCCTTCACGTTTAAAACAGGGAGTTCTCCCTCTGGGTACCTTAAAAATGTGCTGCCAGCCTCAATGCACCGGCTTCAAATCCTTAGGGCTATGACGCTCAAGCCTGGGCGTCCTCCACTCAGTTTCCAGCTCTGCCACTTACCAGCCCAGCTAGGTGTCCTTGGGTGCTTTACTTTGCCTCTCGGTGCCTCCGTTTTCCGGTGTGTACAATAGGGGTACTACCCAATGGCACGTCGTGCAGGATTAAGTGAGTTGATTATGCACGGCACCTGGAATAGAGCCTGATTTGCAGGCTGTGAGCCTGAGTGTTAGCAGCGAATGTTATTGTCATCATGATTAGAAGCCTCAAGCGCTGTTCAGTCCCTACCTCATCAGCCAATGACAGGAGTTTTAACTCCTATAAAGTTTTAACTCAGGCCATTCCCAGCACTCTCCCCAGCCTGAAAGCAGCCACAAAAGTCAGGCATCCTACAGACAGACGGTTCTCCATTCCCCTTGGGACCCACAGCCCTTGCTGTAGCACCCAGCATGAAGGCTGGATCCAAGACTCGGGAGCCACAAGCGACACAGGGGCTGCTGAGAGAAATGTCCTCCAGCCCCTGTGTCCACTGTGAGTATCGAGCTGGAAGCAGATGACACCAACACAACCAAGCCAGCAGGAGCTGGGGGGATGTCACCTTGCAGGGAAGAGCACTTGGAGCGATGAAACTGGGACATGGAATTCCTGGGGAGTTCTTCCTTCTCCTGTCTGGAGTGGGGTTGGTAAAAGCCACAGGGAGGTAAGAAATGATGGAGGAATAGGCTCAGTGGGAAGCAGCGGTCCAAGGCCACTGGGACTGGAAGCATTTGAATTGGAAAGCCTTCTGTCAGTGTAAGGTATGGGCCCTATTACCTGCTTGCTTGAGGCAGAGAAACCTGGAGCAGCTCGGGTCATTTCAGAGTCGTCCTCCAGGCAGAGGCGAACTGACCTGGAACTTACAACCCACACTCCTGTGCACACATACACACGTACACTGCACATTTCCATGCATCCCCCCACACACCACGCATCTTGATTGATGGACACACGTACACACGTTCGCAGCCCATGCATGCAAACGCGTGAACACTACACACCTGGTATATGCACATGTACACCACACATGCCCATGCACACACACATGCACACCACACACACTGATGTACACAAGTACACCATGCATACACACCCCTCCACACACACCCTGATGTGTGCACATGCACACCACACATGCTCCTACACCCCATACACCCATCCCCAGGGTGGTTATGCCAGTTCTGCAGCACTTTTGGTGACTACAAATCCCTCTAGGCCTAACAGGAACCAATTAAGCAACGTATTTAGTGGCGTTAGAAGGAGGGAAAGGGTCACCTTAAACATTTTCCCCAGCAAATCTGACACATTCTGGCAGCCCAGGAGGTTTCAGAAGTTGAGAGGGGAAGCTATGCTCAGCTGGCGCCCTCTGGTGGTCACTGTCTTCCCACTCCGCGCTTGCTCTGAGGAGGCGGAACCCGAATAGCTCTTTTCAAATCAGCAGGAGTGGCTCTGCCCCGTGCCACATGCGGTGGAGGGAACAGGATGAGAAGGATGCCATCCTGGCCCTCGAGGTGCTCATAGTCTCTGAAATCATTGTGTCTTCTAGCCTTGGCCCTGGTATCATGACAATAGTAAGTTAAACATAATCAGTAAAGGATCACGGAGCTCCACCCACTGAATCCGCTATGTCCATGTCCTGTATGAGGCACTTAGTATCCACCAGTTGTCACCTTTACAGCAGCTCTGTGCCTTAATCTTATCTGGTTTTACAGATGAGGCTACGGCAACTAAGTGACTTGCCCAAGGACACACAGCCCATCGGATGTCAGAGATTTTATTTAAATTTACTTTATTTTAAATACATACAAATGACACAAAACTCAAATTTTCTGAAGGATCCTATAATGAAAATATCTCCCTCCAACCACTGTTCTGCCAAGTTGCCAGCCTGTGAGCAACCTTGGTTTTTAGTTTCTCATGAATTTGTTCAAACATATCCCATAGGTGTAAAGGGAGGCATTTTTTTAAAAACATGGAGGCTGCATACTATACACTGTTCTAAAGCTTGCACCACTGCGCCTTCCCTGCATCCCTTAGGTTAAAAGGCAAAGTTGGTTTTGAAAATAAATATGGCCGGGCGCGGTGGCTCACGCCTGTAATCCCAGCACTTTGGGAGGCCGAGGCGGGTGGATCACGAGGTCAAGAGATCGAGACCATCCTGGTCAACATGGTGAAACCCCGTCTCTACGAAAAATACAAAAAATTAGCTGGGCGTGGTGGCACGTGCCTGTAATCCCAGCTACTCAGGAGGCTGAGGCAGGAGAATTGCCTGAACCCGGGAGGCGGAGGTTACGGTGAGCCGAGATCACGCCATTGCACTCCAGCCTGGGTAACAAGAGCGAAACTCCGTCTCAAATAAATAAATAAATAAATAAATAAATAAGGATGGGACGGTGACTCACACCTGTAATCCCAGCACTTTTGGAGGCCAAGGAGGGCAGATCACTTGAGATCAGGAGTTCAAGACCAGCCTGGGCAACATGGTGAAACCACATCTCTACTGAGAATACAAAAACTAGCTGGGCGTGGTGGCGGGCGCTTGTAATCCCAGCTTCTTGGGAGGTTGAGGGAGGAGAATCACTTGAACCTGGGAGGTGGAGGTTGCAGTGAGCCAATATCGCACCATTGCACTCCAGCCTGGGCAACAGAGGGAGACTCCATCACATAAATAAATGGCCTGGAGGACAAGATTCTAGATAATGGCCTTACTTAGGACCCAAGTCCCCTTTTGCAACACAGTGGTCATCCCAACTGAGTGCAGTTTTTCTCTTATGAGCGTGGATTTCCAGAACTAGATCTTCACTCTAATATCACTGACAATCATTTTGCAGCAATAAATGCGTGGAACTGCCTCATTCTTTTAAAGAGATTATTGTATGAAATAACCACAGGTCATTAAACTTGCCCACTATACATGGGCATTGAGATGTTGCCAGTCTTCTGTGCTTACAAATACACTGCCATGAACCTCCTTGTATGCCTGCCCTTTCACACAGGTGGAATTGCTAGGTCAAAGGATACACAGGTGTGTTGGTGATTTTAAAAGATGCCATAAAACTTCCTGTATTATCGTGGTTACCAACTGATCCCCCATTGCAGGGAGTAGAACCCCTGACCTCCTGACTCCAAAGCCAAGGCTCTCTCTTCCTGTCAGATTCATGACTACGCCGGACGTCATGATGAGGTCTGAAGGGAGTGGTTAGGTGAGCAGAAAGAACACAGGGGGCTGCCGGAGGTGGGTGAAAGATGATCTTATTCAGCAACAGCTCTCATCGACAGCTTTCTTACACTGTCTACCCTGTCTCAGCGGCTTAGTCCGGCTCCCACACACAGCTGCATGGCCAGCTCTCTCTTACCTTCAAGGTCAGCATCTTAACTCTTTCTCTCTCTCTGGGCATGAGTGAGCCGAGCTGTGTCCTGGCTCCCTCTGTCCATCTGCAAAGACCAGCGTCCCCAAACTACGGCCCACGGGCTGCATGCAGCCCCCTGAGGCCATTTATCTGGCCCCCTGCCGCACTTCAGGAAGGGGCACCTCTTTCATTGGTGGTCAGTGAGAGGAGCACAGTATGTGGTGGCCCTCCAACGGTCTGAGGGACAGTGAACTGGCCCCCTGTGTAAAAAGTTTGGGGACGCCTGGCAAAGACGGACAGCTTTGGCTCTCTCTCTGGGTGCCAGCACCTGCACAGTGTCAACAGGGCAATTATAACTTTTACAGACAATAGTGGCTTAGAGCCAAATGATGGCCTTCCCATCTTATGGCTACATGGCTGTGATAACAAGTGGAGTTGTACGTCTGCACTCTAAACTCGCTGAGTCACTCTGGAAGTTTACCTTGGCCTATCCTTGACCAAAGCACAGCCATATTCCTTATACCCCCACAGCTCAGCCTGCCTTGCCAAACCTTCAAAGTCGTGACTAAGATTTCACCAGACAGGTACCAGACATCTCCCGGAGCACATGCCATTAGCCTCTGATAAACCACCTCTGGAACACCAAGTTCAGTGCAGGAGGAGAGCCTGCCCGGCTATAGAGGTAGGATGTCCATCCAGCCAGTAGGCAGCAGCTCCTGGAGAGACGGGGCCTTGTGAGACACTCCTCAGCCCCACAACCCCCAGCACCTAAAGGAGGCAGACTAGCTTTGACTCTTAGGCCTTCAAAGGTACAACCCATCCTTCTACTTTCCAGCAATCGGCACACATTCTGGCCTCCGCTGGAGGAAGAGGTCCTGTTATCGAGGAGCCTTTAAAACTTTGGCCCCACTGTACTGGGTGCAGCCCTGATAAGCCCACCTTCCTGGCTGCTTCCTACTGAGCAGCCTTCAGCCCTGTGGACGGACAGCAACAGGAGACCTTGGGGCATCCACTGTCCCCTTGTGCAGCCTCCTCCACCAGCAAAGCTCCTTTTCCTATGTCCCTGCTCCTCACTGGAATCAAGGGACACCTAGTCAGCCAAGGCCACAGCCATCTCAATTCCGAGGGGCCTGAGATGGGAAATGGTGCCTTCAAAGCAAGGGCCGGAAGACAGTCAGCCCAGGAGCGCCTCACTGCACACTGCAGAGGGTTCTCCAAGCGGGGGCAGCTGGAGCAAAAGCCTCAGCAGGGCCTGCTCTGCCCACCAGCCTCAGGGG